CTGAATTTAATTTTGGTGTCAAGAACACGACTAAAATGTGTAAGCTAATGTAGTTTGTTATGTGTTGTGAAGATACTACTGTAGTTCATATGCATGAACTGAATTATGAATTAAATGTCAGTGTCCCATGGGGGATTATGCTTTAGATAATCAATCACTAAAGACAGGGAAGAGAAAGTGTATGACATCAAGAAAGGGAAATCATCAGAATGTCAGCATGAAATGACATCAATCATCATGTGCAAATCTTCAATTGATAATAAGAAGTTGTAATAGTAAAACAATTAGGAAACTGTAAAAAAAGTTGAGATTCCATAGTCGTTTGATTACATCTTTGTTGAATAAATGTTACTTATTCATTATAGTTAAAAACATTATGTGAATTATTCTACCATGTTAATTTGAAACATTGTTCTCTGCTAACATATCAGTTTTTATAAAAACAATCAACAAAGGAGCAATGGACATCAAGATCTTTAACAAAAAAATGTGTCAAGTCTGAAAAATTTACTGTTTAAATTAAATATACTGAATGCTACCTTAATCAGTGGCATTATAGTGGCCCAACAGTGAAAGATATCCTTCTGGTGTATTAATGTAACTATATAGATCAGTGGTTCTCAACCTTCCTAATGCTGCAACCCTTTAATACAGTTCTTCACGTGGTGGTGACCCCCAACCATAAAATTATTTTTGTTACATAGCAGCAACAAAATTTTATGGTTGGGGTCATCACCACATGAGGAACTGTATTAAAGGGTTGTGGCATTAGGAAGGTTGAGAACCACTGTTCTAGATGTTTTCCTATTTTATACAACTGTGTTGGCATATAGCATTTTAAAACTCTCCTGGGTCTCATACTCTTTAAAAAGTTCCCTCTGTCACGCAAAACAGAAGAAGGTAATGTATTTAATAGACAATTAATATGACTAACTTTGAGAGGGCCTCAATTTGGGATATTAGCAAACTATAATTACATTTACTATAAAACAAAGCTTAAGGGTTGACTCTGATTCCATAACACAGACTATTTCCCTGTTAGGGATTGTGAATTACTTTAACTTATTCCATTAATAAGTTAAAGTTGTTGTTGTTCTCTGCTAACATATCAGTTTTTATAAACAATCAACGGAGGAGCGTGGTGGAATAATTTTTGTTATTATTTAACGTGATGAACTAATGCAAATAGAAGTGGCTTATAATTTCAGAGACCTAAACAACGTACTAGGTGTTTATATGAATTTGCAGTCATAGCTACCCCTGTAGTGACACTCTGGCAGCAGAACTAAAATAAATGAAATCACTGAAGATGCTCCTGTAAACTAAGTACTTAAAACCCCACAGTATTAGAACAGAAAACAGTGCAAACTGGAGGTAAAAACTGCCCTTTCTACAACTGTCATTATTTTGAATAGGTTTCTGCAAGAAGCATGCTTAATAACATTAATTTTTAATTAGCATGTTTTGTTTGATTAACTTAAGGCAAAACAATTTAAAACAATATACACAATCTAGTTATAAGTTTTAAACTCTTAGCTGAAGCTAGAAAAGATTAACATGGAGGTGAATAACGGCTGTATCTTCTTTAACATAATTTAATTTCTTTCACTACCAGAACTATTAAAAATTAGTGGTCAGTGAAGACTATATTTGCACAATTCTTCCTCAAGAAAAGCAGAAAGCTATGGGGTTAGTAAGTTCAGAAACACACAATTCCAAATTACTGATAAGACACAATTCCTAAGTTACTGATAACTGAATTTCTTCATGGTCTCAAGTTCTTGGTCAAAATAGTTTCTTTATCAAATAAGTGTTAAATTTAAAATAACATATCACATCAACATTTAGAATTTTCTAAAATAAGTAACTCTGTTATATTTGCATGCTACCAAAAAAGTTGCTCAAAAAACTATAATGGCTCAGCACCTATAGCTCAGTGGCTAGGGCACTAGCCACACACACACACACACACACACACACACACAC